TTAATGCGATTTCCCTGTCCTCCCTCCGCGGCGGAAGGAAGCCCTGGTGACCGGTCCGTTGTCTGTCTTATGTCTTCTTAATTCAAATTGAACGAAAGGTTGTAATAAGTAGATCGGGTATGACGGCAGTTTTAAACGGATTCTTACCTTTTTACGGTGTGAACAGTCTGGCGTTGTTAAGGAATATTCAGGACGATTTAAAAATCCGATCGAATGTCCGTCACGTCGCCTGCCACCAAATCGACTCGCAAAATCATGTTTTATTTATACTAATTTAAACCCAACACAAACGCACTGTAAATAAAATAATTCGTGCTATATGCCGTACCCATCCTAATATTAAGAATACGCAACTGAATTTGAAGCTTTCCATTCTTCAATCTTGATTATATTCGTCTCCTGTTCAGCAAAATGTATCTTTGGTTATTTGCAGACTGGACTTCTACTGTAGACGTTATGTGGCTCGCATTTAGGAACTTCGTAACTTCTTAGATTCTTCGCTGATATTTACGTGATTCTAGGAGATGTTGAATGAGATAAATTGGTTTTGAATAGTGAGTAGGTAAGGGTTTGGAAGGAATCGGTCGTTGTGACTTTGAAGGCGTAACCCAGGCATTCATCTGGGTAAACTGACGAAAACCATGAACACTCTAAGTAGGGGTAGGCAGTAACTCGGGACTAGATTTGAACCAGTCACTTCCGCTGTGCTGTCTGCGTTCGTTATTCAGCCCACCGCCCCCTTAAGTAATAGGAATTACGTGTAAGCCAGGCCAGCACTTGAAGTGTTTCAAGTAAACTCGGACTGAAGCTTCTTTCATTAAAAGAGGAACCAGTGACAACCATCAGCGTCAACAATTACTTGCATGCGGGGTTTATATTATTCTAAGAACAAATGCATTGTTTCTCTGACAGCTTTGTTCGTTTATGCTTTATAATAAACACGCGTTGGGCTGGCTAGGATTCTGTTTTATTATTATTTAGTGTTCTGTCTGAGGACAGGTCCATATGAACAGGATCCTTCCATCCTTTTCTCGGACTGGGACCTGTTCATATACGTTCTTGGCAGATGATCCAGAAGTGGTTTGCCATTGCCTTCTTCTGGGTGTGAATGGAGTAATTGTTGGGATGCCACAGAGAAACCGGGGAAGCCCC